GGGGAAAAATGCCAAATAWTCTTCTAACACTGAACCTAATGTTGCATGAGCAGTGATTAKCAAAGGAGGGGGGAGCAGTGGTGGTAAACAACAAAGAACCACACAAAGGAATGGCCAGAAGTGGTGAAAACTCGATTTTAAATCAGTGAATTATGAGTGTTTCATTAAAATTTTCTTTGTATGCTTATTTTTGAAATATTATTGATGYTTGTTTCATTCAGAAATTCTTTGAAAATCTCAATCCTATGGGGAAGATACCAGAAAAAGAGTTTACAGATTATCTGTTCAACAAGTCCTTAGAGATTGAACCTCGGAACTGCAAGCAACCACCTCGATTTGTAAGTTTTTTCCCTGAAAATTCACAGAATCAGAGAATACCCTGAGTTGGWAGGGACCTACWGAGATCACTGAGTCCAACTCCTGGATTATTTATTTAAAATTAAACAGCTCAAATCCGCTGGCCACTATGAGAATAATACATTATTACCTCAATAAGCCATACACATATTCTTCAAAATTCCTTATTATGAGATGATTTTCCATCTAAAATTGATTAAAAAATACTTCTACTCCTGATGTTTCTCACTACTAGAATTTATTACYTTTGGCTTATTTTAAAAYTCACTTTTTCCCCYSYTAAACCTGAAATATTGCTGCTCARTTTGYGTTTCTTACYRTAGAGTCATAGCATAAAATATGGARTAACATTTCTCATTTCACAATATCAAGAAGTCTTATATTAATCCTAATTTAAATATGACTCGTATAAATAAAAGTGGTTTTGGCAGCAGAAGTTAATTTCTATTTTTCTTTTGTCCAAATATTCAATATTATTTGAAAAAATGAAGACTTTAGCAAGTGCAGTCTTCTTGCTGTAGAAAATACAGTTCAATTTAAAAAGGAGTAGCAATTTTTTGTTTAAAACAAAACAGATCCTGGAACCCAGAGTTCTTTTTTAAGCAGGAAAATCACAATTTAGAGCACTTGTTTTTTCTCTGTTGTAATTGCCTGAGGARCTGGAGCCATGTCTGGTTTTTTGGGAGAGTTATAAATCATTTTTGAAATCTCTTGTGAGAGGAATGAGTAAGAGGATGTTACAAATGTGGCAAGAAAACGCCAGAAATTGCCGTTGCAAAAATGCTTCTTACAGTAATTTTATTAAAATCTTCCCTAAAAATAGGAGTCCAYGCTGCCAGCCTGTCAGCTGGGCAGGAATTCTTTACAGCTCATGATTTCCAAAGAGAGAATSTGATTGGAATTTCAGGAAAATCCAGTCCTGGGTGCTGTAATATGCCGGACACCACTGCAGGATGGGGGTGTAATTCATGTTGCAAGGCTCAGCTTTGRTCTGTGCTGTTAGACCCGAGCCTAACAAGGCTGGGTTTGTCCACACAGTGACCTGGGTGTAGGAATTTTGTCCTGGATAACTGAGGACGTGGACCATGTGTGTCCAAGTGTGTCCTGGATGTGTTGGGGGGCTCTCTGTGGTTACCCCAGGGCATGTCTGGGGTTCTGGGCTGAAGCTCTGGGGTCACCTCAGTAAATTCCCCTTTCCCAAGGCTGTCACTTGTTCTTCCCAGTGTTTTGTCCTGGTTGGCAGCAGAAATTGAACTCTTCATTTTTCATAATTGTGAGGAAAAAAGATTTATTCAGCCACGTGCATAACTTTGTAATGCTGCACATTAAATAACTTGTACCCTGTACTGCTCTTCGAGTGTTTTTGAGAAATACTCTGAAAAACACCTCACAGAGTCCTGGAAATGAATACTGAGTGTGGAATGGCAACAGTGCATGGGAATGTTCAGTGAGGAATATTGCAATGCTTGGGAATGTTGCAGTGCTTGGGAATGTTCAGTGAGGAATATTGCAATGCTTGGGAATGTTGCAGTGCTTGGGAATGTTCAGTGAGGAATATTGCAGTGCTTGGGAATGTTGCAGTGAGGAATGTTGTAGCAGGGAATGTTGTAGTGCTTGGGAATGTTGCAGTGGGGAATGCAATAGTGTGGAATGCAGCAGTGGGGAATGCAGCAGTGTGGAATG